AATATGGGCCTGAGTGTGGCATAGCACATGTGGCAGTCACATGGTAACCTTGGGAGTTTTTGCTTTCGCCTTGAGACAGGGTCTTTTGCAGGGTACTGCATACGCCAGGCCTAACCAAGAGCTTCTGGGAATTCTTCTGTCTTCGCCTTCCAAATTACAGATATGCAGGCACTGCTCATTTGGTTTTGTGTGGTATTTACTGATAAGACTAGCCTGTGGCACCATCAAGTTGACACATTACATCATAAGGCCTAAATATACTCTCCACCTATTGTTTTATATTTTGATATATTTTCACATCTTCCCTGGGAAAGTCCTATTCCACTTGAATATTAAGATTATCTGAATTTAGTTGGTTTGGTTAAAATTTGTCCAGGCATCGAATTAAAGTTGGATTAAAGTGAATGTTAGCTAACTCTCTATTTTGTCAAATGTAACTTGTAATATTTTCTCTGGCCTAATGATGTAATTTTTTAAAAAAAATTATTTTATTTTATGTGTATGTATGTATTGCCTGCGAGTAGGTAAGTGCACCCGTGTTGTGCAATGCCTGCGGAGGACAGAAAAGGCTGTTGGATCCTCTGGAACTGGAGTTACAGGCAATTGTTAGCTGCCATGTGGGTGTGGGATTCGATCCCAGGTCTTCTGCAAGAACAACCAGTGTTCTTAAACACTGAGCCATCTCTCCAGCCCCCGATATACTTTTTTAAATATTGTCTGCCACTGTCTTTTTATCTGCAATTTCTTGCATCATGTCTTGTGGTGGGAGGGTTCTAACACTCAAGCCTAAGTCAGCTTGACAAAGGGTCACATCTGTGGAGTGACTGGTTTACAACAGATTTGCAATTCGCAGAGCAATTTGCAAAAGCCAAATTGATTGACAAATGGCAGTTTTGTCAATGGACCACTTAGACTCTGGTATGTCAATGTGCAGCTGGAGAAAAAGGAATTGGATTTGTTTGTGAGCGTCCTCTCTATGCTTCCATAGGACAGATCACCCACCACCATCCTTGATGCCCCCATAATACCTACGACAACTAGAGGGCTGGTGGGAAGGTTACACAAAGGAGGAATATGTGAATTGAAGCCCTATCTACATACATTCCTATTACCTGGAAAGCCACCCCTCCTGGCAGTTGTTTTTGTGGCTTGTTTTATGAATGCAGAACAGTGTTCCTATAATTTAGAATCTACTTCTCAAGGAAATTATGGCGGTGTCATTTGATCTGTGCTGTTATTACTGTTGTTCCTTCTATTAATGGATTCTGAGACAGTTCTTTTTCACATAGTAGTCTAATATTAAGTAACAAAATTTTATTGACTTGGCCCCAACAAGATAGACTAAAGGAAATGTTTAAAACATCTGTCCCTCTAAGGCCCTGTTTTGGCGTTCGCTGAAGGTCACAGGCGCATGTATCAGCCTCCCCTCTTTGATGGTCGCTTGGCACATCTTCCATTCAGCCCCTTTATTTTTCTAAAGCGCTGAAACTCCTTTTCGTCTATTACACTTTTGGAGCAGTGACTTTCATGTATATACTTTCATGTCTTAAACATTGGAATTTTAATTTATTTTTAATCTGTCTTAAGAGTGTTCTAACTACTGGTACGGTAGTTTTGACAACTGGTTCTAATTTCTATATGTCAGTCTTTGACTAAGTATATAACAGTTATAATTTTTGATTTGTTGCCTGGAGATTAGTGTTCTGACTTTCTAGCAGAGGCCTTTTTGTTTGTTTGTTTGTTTTATGGTCTTTTTGAGACAGGGTCTCTCTGTAGCCCCAGCTGTCCTGGAACTCACTATGTAGACCAGGCTAGCCTTGAACTCACAGAGATCCGCCTGTTTCTGCCTCTGTCTCCCGAGTCCTGGGATTAAAGGCATGCGCCACCACACCCAGCGCAGAGGCCTTTAGTCCTTCACTGTGGTGTTCTCGTGCTTGTGGACCTGTATGCTTTTGCTTGATTGCTAGTGATTTGGCCTGATGTTTTCATGAACAATTTGGTTCCACCCTTTCCAATTATTATACGTAGATTTTCTGTCTTCAGTTGCCCTCCTAAGCAGTTAAGAGTGATTTGGAATTAGCACATCATAAACACCCTCCATGATTTTTTCTCAAGTGTGGTTCAATACTCTGTTCTGCTGATTTGCACTTTTACATCATTAAAGAAGCAAGAAAGTTAATTAAGCAAATTAATTAAAGATGTGTTACTAACTGAGGCAGTCTGGTGAGATTTTAATTTAGAAATTTCCCGAAATGTTAATTCTCTAAGAAATTTTAATGGAAAAGAATTGCATTCACTATAGTAGTTGCTTACACTGTGGTCTTAGGGATAAGTCTAGGAGCAGACTTGCTGGGAAGTACAGCCAGGGAGATAGATGCAGCACTGACTAATTATATAGGTGTGGCCTCAGCAGGCAGTGGATGCTGAAATAGAACAGTAGATGTCTGCTACCCAACTGCTTATCACATTTGCAGAGAGATTTTCAGATTCAGAGACCACACTGATAAGAGTGAAATTATTTTGGAATATGAGCTGGGAGGAGAGCTATGTGTGTGTTGTGAACACAGGGTTCAGTTTCACTGGGAACCAAAAGAAGATTTATGACCTGTTGGAGTTTTCATTTAAGAAGCCAAAGATTTTTTTCTTTTATGTGAAGTCCTGTGGATACTGCAGTATCTTGTTTCTTTTACTATTTTCCTGGCTCATGGTTAAGGAGTTTAAATGGATATTTGACATTGACTTGGGCTGTTTTGTGGAAAGTGTTCACATAGGTAACAAAGGAAATAAATCAATAATGAACAACTCAATTGTTCTGATGTTTTTTTCTTCAGGGTAGATTTGCAGAATAAAGGGAGTCAGCTGAAGACAATAGGACCTTGGGGGGCTGTGCAGAACCCCCACTCCCTCGCTTTTTCCAGTGAATAAGAAAACTGAATGTCACTTTTCAGTGTCCTTCAGGGACAGACCGTTATTTTTATTTGTAGCTATCGGCGAATTAGATCAGACATTAACCTTGGAACGTAAGCATCAAAATGCAATCTCATTTTAAATGTGTATGTGAGAGAGAGAGAGAAAGAGAAAGAGAGAGAATATGCCTTTCTTCATGGGCACGTGCAGAAGTCAGAGAAGTAATATATTTCTGATTAATAGGATTCGCTAGTCAGAACTTTGTTTTGAATTCTGTTCTTTTACCACAAGTTCTCTGTAGAAGCTGTCCAGCTAAGCTTGGGTTTGACTTTGCTATGAAAAGCTCACTTTTCTGTTTTTAATAAAACATCTGTGTATCTTGAGTTGCCTCATAGGAAGGAAGCACACATATGCATATGGATTTTTTCCTCGTATTTGTTTTTTGTGTATGATAAAATAGTATCAAAGAACAGTTTCTTTGTTTGAGCTACAACATATTCCGCCATTAATGATAATTGCTGGACTATTAAGTTAAAAATTCTAATTAAAAATTAAAATGCTAAACTTCTAGATACATTATTTTGAAGATTAATTTTATTTTATTTATTTACTTTTTGGTATTTTTGAGACAGGGTCTCCCTGTAACCCCAGCTGTCCTGGAACTTGCTATGTAGACTAGGCTGGCCTCAAACTTACAGAGATCCACCTGCCTTTGCCTCCTGAGTACTGGGATTACAGGCATGTGCCACCATGCTCGACTGACGATTCAAGTGTTTTGCCTGCTTGTATTTATGTACACTGCATGCTTGCCCTGGTACCCAAAGAGGCCAGAAGAGGGCATCAGATCCCCTGAAACTGGATCCATGTGGGTGCTGGGAAACCCTGGTCGTCTGCAGAAGTGCCACTGTTAGAGTAGCAAATAGCCCCATAAGTTTAATTGGTCAAGACTATAAAATCTCTAGTTTATCTTTGGAAGACTTAACCTTTCCACTTTCACTGGTTAATCATTTGGTCATAGGACCACCCCTAGGAACGCAGGTTCACCTGAAGTTATAGATGGGTAGAATACCTAGTGCCTTAATGAGACAGGGAATTTTTCCTGCCTGGAATCCCTCCTAATACAGAGCTTCTGGACCCAGCCAGAGACATGTCTCTGTAAGTCTGCCTACTTTTCTGAATTCTTCAGAAAAGCAGAATCTCTCCTTTTCTTCTTCATATCCCTTTGCTAAACATGCTTTCTCTAATGCTTTGGGCTGCCCCTAGTGTCTTGTATTTCTTTACTCTTTCTCTAAAGCTTCCTTCTCCCAGCCATGTGGCTGCCAGTCAGCCTTGTGTCTGACCTCCATGCAGGCTCTAAACCTGCGTGGCTTCATGACTTTCTTTCGTTCTCCCCTCCATTCTCCTCGTCAAGGCAGCTGATTACCAGCTCCCCTGCCCTGAGGATTTTCTTTACAATTCTAATAAAATTGCCCTAAAGCTTCCGTTTGGGCCCATTCTTAAATTCTTTTATGAATGAGACTAAGACCCCTCTAGGGGACGCTCTTTCTCCCGTTTCCCCAGTGCTCTTAATCATTGAGCCATATCTCCAGCCTCCTAGATACATTATTTTGCATAGGTACATTGAGACGCCATGAAGACGACCGAGTATTCAAGCCAGCCTTTGCTGTGAGTGCTTACAGTAGTGACAGTTGAATTATGTCAGGTAAAAGTACATGACCCTTCCCTATCTAAAGCCTTGCCCATGATTCTCTGTGACTGAAGATCCAGTTTGAATCTTAATGATTTGTATTCCTAATAGGTGCATCATTGCTGAGGGTAGACGTCACCATCTTATACGCACAGGTGTGGTGGTGCATGTCCTTATTTATTCATCACATAAACCGAGGACATGGTGGGAAACATCCATCTTTTCATGTTTTATAGCCCAGTGGAAGGAGTGGCTGGTGATGAGAAGTTTGTCATTAAATGTCACTATTGGTAGAATACTTAGAAGTGTCATGACATTTATGTAGTTTCATGTACACATTCCAGATCAAACTCCGTATAATGAGTAATTCTAGAATTAATGGTGTTTGCTTTTCTTTCTATTTTAGGAACTTATTTATGAAAAGTGCCACGGACTGAAAAAGCAAACATGAGGGTAGCAGGTAAGACTCAAGTCTGTGAAAATAATTTTGCATTCTGTGTACTGAAGGAGACAGCTAGTAATGTTTTCTCTTTTTGAAATGAGTTGTCCTGCCTTGACCAAGATGTTCTCAACTATCTTACTGCCTTAGAGATTGTTACAGGCAGGTGCCACCACACCCAGAATGTTTGCTTCCCTCCCTTCCTCCCACTGTACCTCCCTCCCTCCCATCTTCCCACTGTCCCCCACTCCCTCCTGTCTTCCCTCTGTCCCTCCCTCCCTCTCTCCTTCCCTCTGTCTCCCCCCCCCCCTTCTTCTCTCTGTCCCTCCCTTCTTCTATAACCTTGACTGCCTGGAGCTCTGTGTACACCAGGTTGGCTTCAAACTCACAGAGATCCACCTACTTCTGCTTCTTCAGTGCTGGGCTTAAAGGCATGAGCCACCAAGCCCAGCCTGGAATAGTGTTTGTGTTGAATACCAGTCTAAAATAAATTAAATCGTACTTAGTCTTTTCATTTCTTTATGTAGTCAACAAGTCACAAATTGTGCATTTTGTATTACATAGGTTCTTATAGACTGACCTTTTGGTGAAGTTATGCTAAATATTTAGTAGTGTTCTTAATGTTTATTTCTTATGCATTAAGCTTATTTGTCTATTACTACATAAAAATGCCTATATAAAGAATAATTTAGCTGGGTATGGTAGCTCACACCTTTAATCTCAGCATTTGGAGGCAGAGGGAGGTAGATCTCTGAGTTCGAAGCCAGCCTGGTCTATATAGTGAGTTCCCGGACTATAGGGAGACCTTGTCTCAAAAAACAAACAAAAAATTTTTTAAAATGCCGAGTCTGGTTTTTATTCTAAGTTCTAGCCTTTGTGAAAAATGAATTCTAAAGTCTCAGTCTCTCCTTTGTAAAGTTAAACATGATATACATGAAGCACTTACTAAAATGTTTTTGTACTCCATCTGTTAGTTCAAGTTCAGTTTGTGTAAGCGAAGAACATTAACATTAATCTGTCCCTGAAGCAGCGTATTACATACATTGTAAAACATTAATATCGTTATCATAAGTAGTTATCCACAGAGCATAGAACCAGAAATACCTGGTTGATTGTTTCCAACCTGAAAGTGAAAATAAATGTTTGTGCCTCCTCCCTCCAACCAAAGCACCTGAAGTGCACATTATACGGTGGAATTTCTAAGTCTGTGCCCAACAGAGGAGACAGCGGTAGTTTTTCAGAATCAAGATAATTGGTCTTTCTCTTAATTGTCATTTTCTTACAAACAAACCAAGTATTTTCCTACAGAATCATCTCTTAGAAATGTCAAAGCCCGAGATGGGTAAACAATAAGCCCTTCATACTTTGCTCATAATTTCAGAGGATCAGGTGGAGTTGATCACACAACTTGATTATTAAACAAAGATAACTGAGCCGGGTGTGGTGGCACACGCCTTTAATCCCAGCACTTGGGAGGCGGAGGCAGAGGCAGAGGCAGAGGCAGAGGCAGAGGCAGGCGGATCTCTGTGAGTTCAAGGCCAGCCTGGTCTACATAGTGAGTTCCAGGACAGCTGGGGCTACAGGGAGACCCTGTCTCAAAAAAGACCAAAAAAAAAGAAAAAAAAACCAAAGATAACTGAAGGTTATTGTAAATGCTTTTGTAGGAATTTGAAAAACTGGAATCTCTTTGTTGTGAAATTGCAAAGCATCGAGTTTTGTTATTGTTTTTTTTTTTTTTAAGTAGGTATACAGTTATAGAAGAAAATGTTTCCAGAAACCAAGTTTGTGGTTTAAAGAATGTGTGGCACTGTTTTGTTTTGCTTTTTGTTTTTGAATGATCTTGGGTTCAGCAGGATGATTTATGTTTCTATGTCTCCAGAGACTTTAAAATATACTGTTGAAGTAAAACAAGTTTTGCATGTAATTCTAAATTTATTTTCATTACAATTAAATTTGTCATTAGCCCATTCTTCTGATTCTGACAATGCCTAGGCTAATTGATGACCAATTAGTCACTGGATTTTTGTTTGTGACTGTTCCTGACTTAGGTCTTGAGGGAACTCTCTTTAATGAATAAATGAGGAAGATTAGCTAGTAGTTCTTTGCTTTTAACTAATATCTTCTAAATTCAAATAGTATCTGGTTGTTTTGAAATCGTCACATAACTATTTTGCTTACATCTGAAATTGAATGCTTTTTGTTTTGTAAAAGGTAGGAACCCACTCAGCAGTGTTGGCCTTCGAGAGGAGGAAGAAATAATCTGATGGCCAGTTAGGCATGGGAATCATGGTGAGGATAGGGTTAACCCCCTCCAAGGCCAGCATTAGGACCAGCTCTAGAGACTCTTCTGTTGTACTTTCTAGGACTCTACCACTGCAAAGATTGAGTTTCTGTACTTCTGACTGTTCAGGCCCTTAGAGCTTCTGTTTTGCTTAGTTCCAGACCAGTACAAATTAAATAGGTCCTGTTTTAAGACCACAGACTAGTTATGTGACTTCTGGAAAGTCATTAAAAACTTTAACCTTGGGGTTAGAGAAATGGCTCAGAGGTTAAGAGCACTGGCTGCTTTTGCATAGGACCCAGGTTTGGTTCCCAGCATCCACATGGTGGCTAACAACTGTCTATAATTCCAGTTCCAGGAGATCTGACACCTTCTATGGGTATTGCATATGTGTGGGGCCCTTACATATGTGCAGACAAAACACTCATACACATGAAAAAATTAGAATATTAGAAAAACCTTTAGCCTCATTTTCCTTACAAAATGTAAATAATATCCTGAAACTTGTATAAATGAAATTATGTTCATAAAATATTTAGCTTTATAGTTGGCATTCAAAACTGGTGTATGTGTGTCATATACACATGTATAAACTTTATCTGTGTAGGTATATAGATTTTTTAGGTGAAGGTTTAGGTTTAGCTTTGTATAAAATTTTATCTTGATCTTTCATGTTAGAAACTTGATTTTTAATCATATTTCAATCTTGAACAATGCAGGTTTCATATATCTGCTTTAGGAGACAGTGAGATGTTATACCTGACAATACCTGCCCACAATTGCTAGAAAGAGTAGAGCTATCATGTGATCTCTCACCTTTGAGCCATGGTCTTACATGATAGAGAAACATGCCGCCTGCTGTGGATGAGATACTCAGCCAGCTCCTGGGGGAAAGAGGCTAAACTCTAAGGGAATTTTGCTTTCTTTTATGATAAAATGTAGGCAGCTAGTAATTGCTTTTAAAAACAGGAAGTGGGCTTTGGAGGGGAGACGGAAGGAAATGGACAGAAGGGTTAAGTGGTTGCCCCTCCCCCATTGCTACTTCATTCCTTTATTAACGGAATTTGTTTAAGTCTGTTTTTTGTAGAGCAGTTTTAGATTCACAGCCAAATTGGGAGGAAGGTACAGATTCTCCATATATTCCCCCATGTATAGCTATTAATAGAGCATTTTAAATAGTACTGAAGAGGCTCCGGTCTGGACTGCCTTTCAGCATCAGCAGTCTGTTTGAGCATCTTCAGTTCCTTCCTGTCCCTCCCTTCCAAGGATGCAGACTGTTCTTTTGGGTTTATCAGATTAGAGTGAACATATTTCATTTTACTTTTTCTTTACCTAGTATACTGAGTTTGGCTTTTGTTTTATTTCCCAGAAAAACATGTCATTTAGTTTTAGAAAAAGGAACAGTGTAGACTGCTAGGTTTTACTGGGAGGCCTGAATTCTGCCCCTTGAGTAGCCTCTAATTTATCTGTAATCTTAGACTTTTACTTTGTCCTTAAGATTAGATGACTGCTGATCTTGTCTACCTCTTTCATATCAGTACAGGTTAAACCTAAGCCCTTAGTAAGAGGGAAATTGAGATTGTGTAATCATGAGCAATATTGTTCCTGAATAAACAAATGTCTGTCTTGGAAATCCAGAGGTTTGAAGTGAGAGGAAGATAGCCCCTGGCTGCCGTCTCTGTTCCCTTTCTTACTTTTCACTTTGTGCTTTTCTTCCTAGATTTGTTACCCACAGAGAAAAAAGATAAGAAGTAGTTCACGTTAAGCAATAGTCAGTGATGTCAGTGATGACTATAAGTTACTTAGGCATGATTAAGGTACAAAGATCTAAAAGATGAGGAGTGTGCCCTCATGAAACTTACCACATAGCCATGGTATGAGACATGTGATGTTGAGTCCTGTCCCCCAGAGGGACAGGTCTTAAACCCGAGGAGGAAGATGGTGTTTGCCATGCTCTGAGGGCTTTGGTAGCTCAGGAAGAGAGATGAGCTGGCTGGTGATAGGAGAGTAAGCATGGTTTATTTGTACTTCAGCTCCTTGCTTCCTGGGTTTCCTGGTCTTGATATCTCCAGGTCTAGTGATTTGTGGCATCTGTGGAGGGCGTTGCTCTTTAGGGTTGGAGAGGATTAGAAGCATGTCATCCAGCAGGCTTTGTGGTAGCCTTTTATTCAATAACAGCTAATGGTGGGTAACTTTTTCCCTCCTCAAATCAAACTATTGACAAATATCTCAAGCAGTCTTGTGTATGAGAATTCTTTGATCAGGAAAATCACTTAACTCGGTGGATATCATTGCAGTTTTTACGCAAGTAAAATTAAGATCTAGTAGTTTACCAAATAGAACTGTATTTAGCCTTAATTTTATTTTTAAAAGTATACTGTTTTTCTTAAAATTGTGTAGCAGACATTTTGTTGGCTCACAAGCTCATGCTGAATTATTTCTGCCTTTTTTCCAGGAGCTGCAAAGTTGGTGGTAGCTGTGGCAGTATTTTTACTGACATTTTATGTTATTTCTCAAGTATTTGAAATAAAAATGGATGCAAGCTTAGGAAATCTGTTTGGTAAGTTTCATTTATTTTTCTTATTCCTTTTCATTTTCTTTTTTGTATTTTTAGCATAAGCTATATGCTTTTTAAAAAGTATTCTTTGACACTTTCATACATGCATTATGTTTTGATGACATGCCCCCATTACACTCTTATCCCCTTCCCACTCCCATTGATCCCCCTCTTCTTCCCAATAAGTTCCCCTCCTACTTCCGTGGGGCGGGGGGAGAGACCCATTCAGTTTTATTAGGCCTGCTTACATAAGCATGGGTTGGAGAGTGTTTACTGGAGCATGGGCCCTTAGCTGTGGCTACACCACTGAGGAAAATGGCTCGCCTCCCCTATAGCAATTATCTGCCAGTGACTCCTCAGGGAGGAGTGGTACATCACGGTCCCCTTCCTAATCTATAATGGAAGGATTGGGACAGGCCCATTCATGTTACCACAGCTGCTTAGGAAATCTGTTTGGTAATCTGTTTGGTTGACAGGCCCATTCATGTCACCATAGCTGCTATGATTTCATCCACGTCATATCTAGAATACAACGGTTTTACAACTCTCCTCCTCATCCTGTGGCTCTCACGCTCTCTTCCTCCTGTTCCACAATGTTCCCTGAACTTTGGAGAGGGTGCTACAAATGTCCTGTGTAAGGCTGAGCACTTAGTCACATATTCAAAGCAGTTTGACCAGTTATGAGTCTCTGCATTAACTGTTGCCCTCTGCAGAAAAGAGCCTTGTTCTTAATGTTGTTGTCTAAAGTGTAAGTTCTTAACATCAGTTCACTATCTGCTTTGTTTGTCTAGAAAAGGAATTATCACATGCAATTGTGATTCATTAGAATATTCTAAATATGTAACAGATCTGAGAATGAAGCCTGTGTGAAACATTTGATTTTTCTATTTGACATTTAAGCATACTTAATGACTGTTTGATGCACGGAGAGAAGTGTTGATCATGGCTTTTAAGTGCACACTCTAGAAAACATACCACCTCTACATTTAAATTGTTCTTCATTTGAGTTGACCACTGGAAAACAAGGACCACAGTCCAGTCTGCAGCAGGACTCACAGTGACGTGTGTAAGGCCTCAGTCCTTAACTTTCTTCTTTCTTTCCTACACTGATTTTCCTCCTGTGATTTTTATTTTTGCCCGTTTATTTAATGTTTTTATATTGTAAATGTACTTGCATAAGATACTTTAATTCAAATGTTTTTCAGTGTTGGGCATTGAACCCAGTATCTTGCCCATGCTAGACCAGTGCTCTCCTACCACTGTACTAAATTTTTGGTACTTAACTCAGTTTTTAACTATATTCTTAAGTTAATAAAATGGAACCAATTACACATTTTTTAAAGATTATTTAATTTATTATATATATATATATATATATATATACACACACATACATACACATACACACACACACACACACACACACACATATGCATG